AATGTGGCTTTGTGTACATACTAAACACTTGTATTATTTGTTAACAATGTTAATGTGGGTTTGTGTACATACTAAACACTTGTATTATTTGTTAACAATGTTAATGTGGGTTTGTGTACATACTAAACACTTGTATTATTTGTTAACAATGTTAATGTGGGTTTGTGTACATACTAAACACTTGTACTGAAAATAAACACACACACACATACTCTCCACAATTTCTGATAAACTGTTTTTAGGGTTTTTTGATTTTATGAGAAGAAAGCTTTTTTTTACCACCTATGTTGACATACGGAATTTTAAATTAGTGACTTTCTAATCTAATACTTTGATGATGGCACATTAACAAGGCAGATTTATCTCTCTCAACATTTAATGTAAATGAAATACTTTTTATATCTCCGATAAACCAGGAGAACGATTTCCATAATAATGAAATATATTGTTAGTGTGATTACATCCACATTGTCTAGTTTAAATACACTGCTACGTAAAACAATTTACTTCAAGGCGCCTGTAATTGGGGCACAAAGTACGTCTAACATACTGTATTTCAGTAGAGTCGCTAACAGTTTCTCTTGCTAGCATTTAATGGTGAAATAATGAGCCAGATTAATTAAATCAAAGAATAATTACAGCATATTTTAAAGTAAGCTAGTTCCTATTTTAATAACAACATTTTGACCAATAGTATCATGAAACTCTTATCTTATGATGACTCGATACTGTGGGTCGAAACGTCGCAATTATCAAAATCACAGCTTCCCTATTGTAAAGTTGCTGTTATATTATTGTTAATTAATTATTCAGTTTAGTAGGTTCATAATTAAACAATAATGAACCAGATTGTTATAATTAATAAGAGTCTTATCTGTTCTTCAAGAACCAGAAAAGAAAAACCTAAATTTGGTGATTACGGTAACGCTCCTGGTGGAGACCTTTTGAACTTCAAAATACATTCCCAAGGACATACGCTATATTTTTGCAATAATTTAAAATGGCTTCAAACATTAATAATACATATATTCTAGCACTGTTTGTACTTGTAGGTTATCATTCCTGTTTAACATTTATAAAAAATATATATATCAACAACAACAGGGAACGTCAGAAGTAGGAGGCAGTTGCGCCACCTGTTGAGGTATGTATCAGTTTTTAATTTTAGGGACATTACACGTAACTAAAACGTTCAACCGCTTTCCAGCCTATCGAACGTATTTTCCACTGGTCCCCCCCCCTAACACATCGCGCGCGTGCACGATTTAGTTGAGAGAAATGGCAGAGGGCGAAAGCGACATTCAGTAGTCCTCTTTTCACAGCTGCGGGTGAGACATCTAACGGCCAAATGTAAAGTAAATCTAAAATTATGTTAATTGGTATCATTAGCTTGAGACGTTTCTGGTGACCGCCCCCTGCTGGCAGTTCATACTATTTTACAAGAGCTTGCCTGACATCTGTTCACTCTTTAACTCTTACTAAACCGATAAACGTACACGTTTTTAGGAAAAATTATTTGCATGTGAATAAAAATCTATTAATTTGTTTGTTTGTTTTGTTAAATAATGTAGCAGCCATTTTTTTTCATATATAACTATGTTGACGACTGATATCGTCTCCAGCTAACTGAATATCACTAACTCTACTATAATTAGTCATATATTTTTACCACAATTTTATTTCAACAAACGCTTTATGGTCTTTTCCGAGCATCCTGTCACTTTCAGCTCCAGTAATTTACTACTTTCTCCGAATTCGTGTAAACGGACCTTTCGACATCAAGGTACATGTACCGTTTGTTTCAATTTACGTACATTTATTTATGAAACACTTGTTATTCATGTGTTTAGTGGTTTCTGCAAGTGAAATAACATCTGGTTTCAAAGTGGTTCTTGTAGCCTACGACTAAAACGTCACTCGTGGCATTCCAAATTATATCCACAAATATACCACAGGGACTATTCTTTAAATACTGGCCAAGAGGATCAATACCACAGGAAACACTGTTTAAATAATGGCCAAGAGGATCAATACCACAGGAAATACTGTTTAAATACTGGCCAAGAGGATCAATAACCACAGGAAACACTGTTTAAATAATGGCCAAGAGGATCAATACCACAGGAAATACTGTTTAAATACTGGCCAAGAGGATCAATAACCACAGGAAACACTGTTTAAATAATGGCCAAGAGGATCCATACCACAGGAACTATTCTTTAAATACTGGC